GTTGACTATAAAAATTAAGGAGAGATATCAACCGGGTTATTGGTTATAAAGATGCCCAAATGATAGTAAACACAATGAATGACCGTCGAGCTCACTATCCAAATTACTCTTTGAGTTTAATTGTCAAGATGATGTTTGGACTGTATGTTTTGGGTGATGAATGGAGAAGGCATATTATGCTGAATTTGGTGATGTTATCTCGTTTGATGCGACTTTCCGAACAAACAAGTAAGTTTTTTTATCTACTTTTGTTTATAGCTTATTCATATATGAATATTTTTATATTCACTTATTAATACATCAAAAATTGACTTTAATGAACATTTTTTTGTGTGTGTTAGGTATCGAATGGTTTTTGTTCCGTTTACTGCTATTGACCATCATAAAAAATCGATTACTGTTGGATCTGGGTTGCTAAGCAATGAAAGCATTGAGTCTTACTCTTGGTTGCTTAAAGCATTTCTTAAAACTCATGGGAAAGAACCAACACTTGTTTTAACCGATCAAGATGCTGCAATAAAACAAGCTGTTGAGAATGTGTTTCGTAATTCAAAGCACCGATTATGTATGTGGCATATAATGAAAAAGTTGAAAAAAAAGGTATTATTTTAATATATTTCAAATATTACTTATTAGTATATTCATTTATGAATATTGATTGTTATTTTACTTATTATTATTTATTCATTATGAATTTTTTGTTTTAATACAGATATCAGATGATTTATTTACGAACACAGACTTTAGAAAAAGGTTTTCGAAGCTTTTTTGGGACATTAATATGAAACCTGATGTTTTTGAGGTGAAGTGGGGTTTGCTTATGAAGGAATTCAATCTTGAAGACACAAGATGGTTTAAAGACATGTTTACAATACGTGATTCATGGATACCTGGATATTTTAGTGATATTCAATGTGTGGTTTGATGAAGACTACATCGAGGTCAGAGAGTATGAATTCATTCTTAATACATACTCAGAAAGTGGGAACTTACTTTTGAATTTCATGATGAATTACGACACTGCCATTCAAAAGCAAAGGAATACTCAACGAGAGCTTGATAAGGCATCAAAGAAAGCATCATATAAAATGCAAACCTCGAGAAATAGAAACTGCAAGCATCAAAGGTTTATACAAGTACATTATTTTTGAGGTGCAAAAAGAAATATATAAAGCATGTTTTTTCTATACATACTCATATGTTGGTATTCAAGATGGTTGGGAGTTTACATTGTGTCAGCACAACAACAATAAAAGTGAATTTTAAATATGAATTAAGGTAATTTTAACTAGTTTTTTATGAAAAATGTAATAATATTCATATATGAATATGAGAATATTCATATATGAATATTAATAATGAATATGAATATATGAATAATATGTATAATCTATGAATAGATGAGTGGGATATGAGTATTCTTATATGAATGGAAATGTGTAATTTTGTTTTTGTATCAGGTTGAAATAAAAGCTGAAGAGAAGAAATACCTTGCAGTTGTGAACATTTAAGCGTATGGGTGTTTTATGCAGACAGCTTTTACAATAATGTGAGATGTGGTGTTAAGAATTCCTGAAAGGTACATTTTGAAAAGATGGAGAAAGATGTGGATCCAAGAAATTATCATTTTAGTTCTGTTCAATCCGATTCAGGTGATTGTGAGAATGTAAAGCTAGTCAATGATTCGATTAAGTTTTGAATCATGTTTGGATATTGAGAGATATGACAAAAAGAGATGACTTTGTTTGTTGAGAAACAACAAATGTTGTTGAAGGACTTTGAGAGTGATTTATTTTCTCCGGGATTGAAAAGCAAGACAGATGGTGAAGTCGTATGCAAGCTTTTGGGTGTTACTATTCCTATTCCAGAAGAGATTAATATTCATGTTCCTGAAGTTCAAAGCAATAAAGGTTCTGGAATCAAGAAAAGAATTCCAAGTGCAGGTGAAGTAGCATATGAAAATTCTAAAAAAGAACATAGAATGTGTTCAGGATGTGGAAAATGAGTTCCACACAATTTACGTACTTATCCAGAAAGAGTTGGAGCTGCTAATCAACAAAAGACGTTAGGGATTTTTTAGTTTTTTTTTATGTTTTTTTGGTTTTATTCATTTATGAATATATGCAGATAAAAACAATAAACAATAATATTCATGTATGAATATACACATTTATATTGATATGGTAAATTGATATGTTGATATTTGTTTTTTAATTACTATAAAAATAGTTATATTGATATTGTAAATTATTCATAAATGAATACAAATATGTGAATTTGTTATACTAATAAATAAGTAATATTCATATCTGAACTTTTTTATGTTAATATCTGAACTTTGTTATACTAACATATTACTTTGAACTTATTCATAAATGAATATATCATATTCGTATTCATTTATGAATAAATAAAAATAAACTTTGAAAATATTTGAATATAAAAAAATGACATAAATAAGCAAACTTGTTTCTACTAATAAGTTAGTTATATTCATATCTGAAATTTGTTATTATACTGACATATTACTCCTAATTTAATCATAAATGAATATATCATATTCGTATTCATTTATGAATAAACATAAATAAACTTTGAAAATATTTAATATAAAAAACTGACAGAAATAAGCGAATTTGTTTCTATTACATAATCATTCAACACAAGATAATAAAAGCTGTTCATAAGCATTTCACAAAATATTAAAACGAACATTTAACAAACCATCTAAAATTTGTTTTGCATAATCGTCTTACATGTACTTCAAATCCATTCATCTTCAACACAAACTGTTCTATAGCATCACACTTCATCACAAGCAATCATCAATATTCTTTTAACCTTTTTTGAATTGTTTGCATAGCCTTGTATGCAAGATCAGTACGCACTTTGAATTCAACTTTTTGATATTTTTCAGCAAGATCCAACACCTTAGCCTTCAACATGTTAATTTCAGAAGTAAGCATTATGTGTGCATACCTTTGCCTAAGCTTCTCTAAAGTAGTTTGTTGAATTGCACTTTCTTTATGAAGACCATGTTTCCCTTTGAGAGTGGTTGTCCCATATAGTCTCCATATGTCTCATTGCAAAGATTCCACAATCAACTTTGTTTTTAACTGTTCTCCATGTCATTTCAAGTCGTTGGGGTTTGATACTTTCTTTTGAGATTGCAAGTGCTCTTGGATGGTTTATTTCTTTAAAGTATCTCACAAACAAATTTTTCTGATCATTAAATAAAATAAAAGTTAGATATGTAATAAATTGGTTCTTTTATGGTGTTGTGATTGGGTACATACCAAGGTTTCAATAGTACTCTGTATTTCCCTTCATAATCCCCCTCAACTGCACTGTTGTCTAGAATTTCAATTGATGGTTTCTTTAAGTTGAAGACAATCACAAAAATGTGAGCACTTTTAACAACTGGAAAGAATACCTGTTTTTATGTATATAATGGTAAGTATTTTGTTGATAAAATATATATATAAAATAACTTTAATTAACATACCATGTCAATATCTTTTATGTTCAAGATTTTTTTGTACATTGGTACTGTCATGAAAGTTCTCCTTGAATTTTTCATACTTTATTTCATCGGACAATGTTGAAGTTAGATAAGCAGTCTGTAACCAATATAATCATATGTGAATTTCAGTTGAATATATATAATTATATTAAAGAATACATCATATTTTGTATAATCATATGTGAATTTCAGTTGTAAAAAAATATAATATTCATAAATGAATACATCATATTGGTGTATTCATTTATCAATAAGGAAGGAATTAAGGTTAGACATAAACTTACAGAAACTCCAACTTTCAAGAAGAGTCTGTATGGTGAATTTCCAAAATCCCTTTCCAGTTCTTGGTGGTTAGTAAATCATACCAGTGTCTAAAACTTCTCCAAAAATCTCTGTGTTTGCATATAGACTTTCCATAACTGCTCTTTCTGTTATCTGACGACCATATTTTGTCTGGACAACCACATCTCTGCAAATATATAATCAAAATGTCATAGATTATTATCTATATAATAATCATATATGAATGTATATAAAATAAAGTTACTTACGATGTTTGCCTTGTAAGTTGAACAACCATTCACAGACAATACTCTCCTGATGTGTCAGTTTGAGTTTTGTGTCTGTTATTCTGCATTTGAAAGGTGATTTGAAAGCATCATCAAGCTTCTTCTCTCTTGGTTGATCCAGATCATGCTTTGATGGTCCTACTTCAGTAGGAATTGATACAGAGATTGGATTTGGATTAAGAACTTTTTCTTTGCTAATCTGATAACAACCTTCTGATGGTCGTCTTTGATTTGTTTCTTTGTAAGTGGTTTTTTGGTGAAGATTCATTAGATTTTTTACTTGAAATTTGATCTGAATCTTGACTGAGACCTAGACTAAGCTTGGATGAGTATCGGCATGCCAGGAGATTTATCATATAAATATTTAAAGTTAATTATAATATTTGAGTTTATATTTTGAATGTTTATCCAAATTGTTACCTAACCCTTTATTTCCTTTTGTCTTGTCAGGTTTTTCTCCTTTCTTGTTTTCATTTTCTGACTTTTTCTTTCTTGAAAGATAAAGAACTTTGATTAAGTAATTCATATGTGAATAAGTAATGTATTCATTTATGAATAAGTAATGCATATCATTATTTATGAATAAGAAATTTAAATTTTATTTTGTTGTATATTGCGTTATTTATTTGTGAATAATAAACCTTATTATATCATATTAGTATTTATTATTAACTTTACCTTTATCTTCTGCATTTCCTTTCTCAGTTTTTGTATGTTTATCTTCACCTCCATCTTTCGTGTTCTTAGCTTCT